GTACTCAAAATTCCAGCTACTCACGTTGCCCTGGTGAAGAGAGCGATTTTATACTAGCAAATATGCCACTGGCTATCGAAATATATGTCGAATATGTCCTATAGACAGTCCGTTTCGTCAGTATCATGAGTTATCCAGAATTCTATCAGCTATCAAGCTACAAGGCTAAAGATATGGAAAGCTACGCTTTTGTAAATGGAGAATGGAATCATGTGCTGGATGTGTGGTATAGACATGCAGTTTCGTCAATATCTGATTAATATACATACATTGGTTAGTTTTATCAATCTAAGACTGGGAATAGGGGGTGCTATGTGATTTCGTGCGGGGAATTGAATCAAATGCTACATATGTGTTATAGACGGGACATAACGATAATTGCCTTTTGAGGCAAGGTTGATACAGCTACAGGACTGACAATTTGAGAAATTACATTTTTTGAATATGGGGAATCGTTCCTTATGCTGGGTGTGTGTTAGAGACGGACCGCTAAGAATTATGGGACGTTGTTTTTTTCAGATACAGGGCCGAAAACTTAAGAAACTATATGTAACCCTAGAAATTGTCCAGTTTTAGGTGAAAATTATGCGATGTTTTGTTTTGCAGTTAGAGGGTAGAAAGCTTAGGAAATTATGTATTTTGACTTGGTGAATCTCACAGTATATATTGTACGTATTACACAAGTGTTATACACGAATCGAAGTTGGACATGTTTGTTTATATGTAACCGTATTTACAGCTTCAAAGACGAACACTGGGGAGATAACTGACCCAACTTCGCTGAATTTTATAATGTTTGTACGAACGGGCAGAGACTAGTCATTATCAATTGAGCCTATCAGCCTACGCCTACCATATCCCGGTATACCGCTAAATGCCTTTGTCATGATTTTCCTAATAGAAATCGTGGAAACCATCTATTTAAGAGAATTGTCACTATAAAGAAGATAACCCCCCCCCTCCTCCCGCACACACACACTCGGTGGGGTTTTCATACATCATGATCAAGCTTTTTTCGACATTTTACAAATAGGCTTATGATCAATGATTATTCACAGTCCCATGCACCACAACAGCACCTCACTTTCTTGAATCTAGGTCGTGGTACCCCCCGTAGCGCCCTCCAGGATTAGAGACTTCTCGGAACAGAATTCAGATTCAGATCCATGCACACTTTATGCACTTCAATCTAAACTGCTCTCGATCTCAAATCGAATTTTTGGGAGCCCTCGACCTCAGTATTTTGTCGAGGATTTGAGAAACGCACAATTTTCAATCAGGGCTGCGAGATAGAGGTTGAAGTCGACGACGGCTCTGCGATTTCTGGACAAGGTGACGAGACTGAAGTATTCTTCAGACAGAGTGATGTAGACGAATCCATGTCTGCAACAACACAGATAGAGGAGCCAGTTCGCAAGAAGTTCAGCGTTTATGACGATCTAAACGTAAGCGTGCAGTTAGCTGGATCAAGTTATGGGAAGCATCGTTGGAGCCGAAAATGGTGTAATGAAGAGCTTAGATGAATTAGCCAAGCTGTACTATATGAACGATTGATTTATTCCTCAGAAGCAATGGTCGACTCTCCGAACTCGCTTTACTTATCGTATGCTTCAGCACAAAAAAAGCAACTTGCTCCCATGCGGGTATCAGGAAAACCCAAAGAGTATGGAAAAGGAGGGTCCTGGCTTGATGATATAACTACTCGGACGAATGATGCAAAGTAGCGCAGCGATGCCAAAACAAAACCGGGTCTGCAGAGTCGGAAATGGGTTGAGTCTTCGGATGAGCTACTGTGTCGTCTAGCTATGAACGCGACTGACGAAAATGCACCAGGTAATGAAGGCCAAGATCAGATGGAGAATATTCTATCACGGACGCGCCCACCACAAATGTGACCGAAAAACGAACAAAGCGCGAAAGCCTTAATCGACTCAATTGCTGCAGCCATTTAGAACATGGCCAACGTTGACTCCGAAAAGTATGGGTATTTGAAAAGGAGGCTTCAATTCGAGAAAGAGGAGGCTAAAAAAAAGCAAGAGCACGAGTTAAAGATGGAGGGGCACCGTAAAGCCATTGAACGAGCCGCTGTAGAGCGTCATGCTTCTGCGGGGAGAGAGAGAGCGATGCATAGATGCTGCAATTGCTCCTGATAAAAACAAAAAATAAATGACCATCAAGGAAAAACAAGTTGATCACATTAAAAAAAAACAGAACTATTTTACAAATTAGGTTAATTCTGAGATAAAGTATTTGTCTAGCCAAGGTGATCTCAGGTCAAAATAGATAGATATCTCGTTTCCGGTCGGCTCGTGCAGGTGCGAATATTGGTAAGTATAACAGCCACGTAGAATAATTTCCCCACAGGCGATCGCCGTGCACGAAGTTTTTTATCCTAACGTAGAAACTACCATTCAACCTTGACTCTACAAAATCCTCATTCGACCGTTCGACGCACGTTACGCGTTCAAGAGTTTAACGCTGCTTTAGGAGCTGGGTTTGGGTTGTAAAAGGGATAGCATAAGTACTTACTACACCCATACGCTGGATCGCCGTAAACGACCTTTCCTAGGAGTAAATCGTATTTACTCACCATCGTCAATTCGTGGCGCTGTTCTTTCACGGGGTGGAACTTACTGACTATAATACCGTCCGGCGTGGTGACAGCTTGGCAATTGAAACAATACAGAGGTGGCAGTAGTAAAGTGAGCGCTGCAGATTAGCAAATGGTGAACAGGGGTTGGCACGCGGGATTGATCAAGATGTATTCTGCTTTTCGCCGTCTATAAATCCCCAACATGTTTTCAGAATACCCCTTTGCGCGAAAAGCTCGTCAATTAGTCGTTCGTTGGACGGTCTACAAAGTGCTACCATGTGTCATGGGCATACTTTAAGCCCACTACTTCGGCTTACACGTTCGTGCAGGTGTATGAGGAAGCGTAAGTTGCACTTTCACCCGGATTAACTATACTTCCTAACAAAAGTATAGATTTACTAAAGTAGGAAACCAAAGTCGATTTTCGGGAATGGAATACGAACGGGCGGCGGGGAGCCAACGCATGGACGGTAATCCGTCCATGCGTAGCATGTGCTTCTTCCACGAACATTGTGCGTGGAGACGGTCCCCATCTGGCTGATCAAGAATTGAAAAGATCCCCAAAGACTGTCAACAGGCATTGGAGAGGCATCCGTAGCGACAATGCCACATACGCTGTCACCAACAGAACATAACCGTGTCGCTCTGGGATTCATCGTGTGCGAGCAGCGCGATTCTGCTACTACGAGAGTGGCTTTCGGGACGACACCGCGCGTGCAGTCGTTGAAACTGCACGTCAGCGGTTATGTGGGGAACAGGGCGAGCCTCTTCTCCGATGGCTTGCCGAAGTCGATACTGTCATAACGATCGTCATATCAGTGACGAGCCGTCAAAGGTTGCGTTCGCCGTGTCATGTCTTGGCGGACGAGGAAGGTGCTGGTCGTATCGCCGCCGGCTCATAGATCATACGTGACGTATGCTACATTAAAGGAGGAGCCGAGACAAACGTTTGAGCCCACTCAGAATGCGTTCCGGTCGAGAGCGAAGTTTCTTGACCTGCAGCAACGTAGGCATTAGGTTCATGCTTACTCCCAACATGCACGGTACTCGGTCTCCAACATCGTGACCAATCCGATCGACGAGGCGACAAACGTTTTCACGATCATAAAGCGTTGGAAGGATGGGTCGGTTAAGTCCTATCTCTTTCGAGAGTACCCAAGTACTCTCGAAGCTGCGATTGCTCTTGCGATGCAGCAGGAGTTTAGCCTAATGCCAGCTAAGCTGTATGCGAACATGAGAATGGCACGTCCAATGATGAGAGCGGGAGGTCCAGAGCCTATGGACCCCTCGAATGCTTCCACCGATGGAAGTTAACAGCATACTGAGGAACAAATGCGGTGTTTCCGATGTGGGTACACCGGACACTTTGTGCGTGAGTGCACAGCACCTGTACACTCGACCAGGGGCCAACGCGGCGTTGCCCGGCATCGCCGTGTACAATAAAAACAACGTGCAGAGCCAGTAGGCGCGGGGTGCCCTACTGGTATTGCGGTCGCGCGTGTCTACAACGGACACGCGACACTGAGGTCTGCAGCCCTGCAGCGGTGCTGCCGTAGCTTTAGCGTCAGAGGAAGACGTTCGACTCAAAGAGTCACTAATACTAAGTTCCTTATCCAAAGCTACTTGCAGTCCACGACCAGGGCTCAAAGTTAATACCTTTACTTTTATTATTCAAAACCCGAAGTGTTTTTTTACTATTATTGCGGCCAAGCCGCCTAGAGGTAAATGTTTCTGTTTAAATAAATAGCATAGTTAAACCTAATCAAATGCATATCGTGTGGCTTTCAGCCAACGTACTGAGATACCTTGTTAACTCTCCAACTTATATATTGAGAATTTGTAACCTCTCCTGGTACTTCATACCCCTGTGTATCCCACACCACGTAGCCCGTTACACTCTCCCCCACTAAGCTGAGAACATTCTGTTCTCGAAACCTTCCTCAGCGAGGACCATAAGATAGCGGCGGTTACTGCGCCTGACACAAACGTTGTACAGCTCCGCGAGCTCACAAACGGCTACGCTTCGCTGGTGCCCAACTTCTCGTCGTCGGCCCACGGCCCAATGCTCCCAGCGCACCGCGCATCTTGGTCTCAAGCCGTCTCAGACCTACGCTCGCGCTCCGCGCCTACTCCAAGAGCTGCTAACCGCTTAGAGCTAGGCTCTTGACTCGTCCGAGTCGTCGACAACAGCTCAGCGGTTGAACACTTGCTTCACAAGCGAAAGGTCGGTAGTTCGATCCCACCAGTGCGTCGTCCTCGTTCCATGAATGATTGTCCACGCTTGGACAAGCTTAAGGGCAACACCCTTTTAACTCAGTGGTCGAGCTTTGGCTTTGGAAGCCATTCCACCCGCGCGCAGCCCTCTCATACCATGAGTAGTCCGTACTCGGACAAACTTACAGGCATCGCCCTTGTAGCTCAATGGTAGAGCTCCGGCCTGGAAAGCCATAGACCAGTGGTTCGGTCCCCGCCCGGGACACACCACTTTCGCTGTTACAGCGCATCCACATCTGGATCATGATCGAACAAGTTGTTTCAAAACAACTATGCGTCTATCGGGACTCTTGTTGCTTGAACCTTGTTCAGAACAACATGAAGCACCTTCTTTCTTCGCGGCCATGTCCCTAACACCACGAGGTCTATCCACCTCCTGCTCCCGCTGCGAGCACCGGTCACACGTACGAGCTGGCTGCTGCAGCCACTGGTCAGAGCCTGAGCTCAACTACTGACCTGTTCGCCCCCCCCCCCCCACACACACACACACTCTAATTGGAGGCATCAGCGTCCACGACGCCAGGGCAATCTTTCCGGAGGATAACATAAAACTCCCATGTCTTCTGTGAGTGAGGGTAACCCCTCCACTTCACAAAGTACTGGGTACGACCCTGGCGTCCATGCCGCGCCACAAGGCGTTGCACGTGATAGTGGAGCTCACCATGCTCATCGAGAAGAGCAAGAGGAGGTCTTGCCTCGGCTGGGTTCTCGCGACGAGAGTCAGCACTTGCCGTAACGGCGACTGCCTCTATACGACGGGAACGTTCACGCTCACCGCCCATCGGTTCATCTCGAAGCGATGACCCACCTTGTGGATAGGTTGCAGTCACCATAGTTGACTCACAACCAGGTCTCGGACCTTGAGCGTCCTGTTGCTCGGCTGAACGCTCAGCTTGACTGGCTCCTGCATCTCGAGCACCTCGCTCCGCAACCTGTGGCTCTGCCACTTGCCGTTGATCAGCCTGCTGTGGATCCACCACCTCATGCCGTCCAGCCTCCCGTTGCTCTACCACCTGCTACTCTGCAGATGTTCGTGGTCCAGCCACCGTGGTCACCAACGCCTCCGCGCTCGCCTGAGCAGGGTCTTGATACGGCTTGAGCAAGCCAACGTAGAAGACTGGGTGCGTGCGTATCTTGGTCGGAAGGTTAAGCGTATACGCTAAGCCCTTCTTGGCCACGACCAGGAGCGGACCTATGAGCTGAGGTCTCAACGTCGTCTTGACAACCGCAGACACTGCATGTGCTGGTAGTTTTTTCGCGTTTAATAAAACTTAGTCACCGACCTCAAACCTCTCAACATTGCTTCTGCCCTTGGCATCTGCATTTGCCTTCTGCGTGTCTTGGCTTTCCGCCATAACGTCGCTTACTTGACGCATTACGCGCAGTCTGAAAGAGACAACGTCATCGACTTCCTTGCGAACCGCAACAGAATTGACATCAGCTAGCCGCTCGGCTATCCCTCCCCCATCAAGCCCTGAGCCCCCGCGTAGCGGCGTCAGTGGGACGCGAGGGATCACCAAGCCGTTCACATAGAACGGAGTGTAGCCTGCCGAGGCGTGCACTGCATTATTTAATGCGAACTCAACAGGTGGGAGCATATGGCTCCAGCAATTTGGCGCCTCAGCGCATACGCTTCGGAGGATATCCCCCACAACGCGATTCACGCGTTCGTTTTGACCGTCGGTCTGCGGATGGTCCACTGTGGACATGTCCAAACGAGTGCCGAGCACTCTAAAGAGGAACGTCAATAACTTCGCGCTGAAGCGCGGTTCTCGATCCGAGACAATTGCATCAGGCAAGCCATATTGGCGAAAGACTCGGTCTAAAAAACAGCTAAGCTGTACCCTTACCATCAATGGTGTCCGACACCGCCGCTAAATGAGCCATCTTGCTAAATCAGTCTACAAAGACCACAATACCCGTGTTTCCCGCCTTACCCTTTGGAAGCCAGGCACTAAACCCATAATCATGGACAGCCAACATCCCTTGGGGACAGGCAAACTCGCCAACGGCGCTTGCCGTGATCGGCGCGGACTTCGTCCGTTGACAAGTCTTACACTTACGTACATAGATTCCAACCCACTTATACATCTTGGGCCACCAGTACATCGAGCTCACCGAACCATAGGTCTTCTCCCGACCTAAGTGCCCGCCCACGGGCGTATCATGAACCTCAAAGAGGTTTCGATACTTTAGATCCTCATCATGAGGAACGACTACACGAGGGTTACCCTCAGAGTCGGTGCTGTAGTACAGCAGACCGCCATCGAGCGAGTATCGATGCAGCCTCGCGCGTAAGCGCCCAGATAATTCCTTGTCAGAGTCTTTAAACTCTTCGCTCTCAAGAGGTCATAGCAGCGCTACTCAAATGCCGTCCTGTGCATACGCTCCGCATATCAAGTCAGGCCCTGACGCCCGTCACAGTCGTGACTTGGGATAATTTGCAGTCCGGCCTGCGCGAGAGCGCATCGGCCACTACATTAAGCCGCCCCGGCTTGTACTTCACCTCGAAGTTGTACTCGGCAAAGAAGAATGCCATCTTCTTGCCATTCTCTGAGAGAGATGAGGCGACTGTGTCGCAGTGCGTAGCGACGCATGATCAAAAATGATCCCAAAAGGCTTAGATCCTAGCGGGTGTACCCTGTATTTGACTAGAGCATACTTTATTGCAAGTAGCTCTTTGTAATGAACTCGATAGTTCTTCTCTGCAGCTTTGAGCTGGCGAGACTCAAACACAATCACGCGTTCACGCCCTTCAGCGTCTGCTTGTTGTAAAGCACAACCGATTACAAAATCGAGGGCGTCACTGGCGACGCTAAACGGGCGATCCGGTCCGGTAGCGCAAGGATTGGAGCCTGAAGGAGGCTCTCCGGCACAGCCTTAAAGGCTCTGCCGTGCTCGACGTTCCAGCACCATGGTGTGCCCTTCTTAAGGAGATCTGATAATGGACGAGCCATCTTCGCGTAGTTCGCGCTGTACTTGGCCAAATAATTGGTTAAGCCTAGCCACTTGCATAAGCCGTTTTGGCTCTTGGAAACCGGCCAATTTACGATGGCCTTGGCTTTGGCAGGATCGGCCCGTAAGCCACGCTTCCTAACGAAACACCCGAAGAAATGTATCTCTTCCGCGCCAAAGACGCACTTGTCCAAGTTGACATACAACTTATTAGTGCGCATGCACTCGATCACCGCTCACAAGTGGTCAATGTGGTTCTCCACGTCTGACTTTCCGTGCTCAGCATGACTATGGACGAATATATTGTCAAAGTACGTCTGAGCGTACGCCCGGTGGGGCCTAAATAACTGCGTCACAAGACGTTTGACCGGTGCTGGTGCGTTCGACAGCCCCTGGGGCATGACCAGCCACTCCCAGAGCATACCGCCCGGAGTACTCACCACTGTCAGAGAAATGTCGCTCACTCTCATGAGCAATTGGTAGTAACCATCGACCAAGTCGAGTGCGCTGTACAACGTACAACCAACCTTATCGTTCTGCAGAGCATCCTTGCGAGGAATCGACGTTTGCGCCGGGATAAGGCCGCATTCAGATTTTAAAAGCATGACCAATGCGCCACTTGCCGTTCCGCTTTCTGACACAGAACGTGGGTGTCGAGTGCGGAGACTTACTCTCACGTACCATCCCTGCCTCGTGCTTCGCACGGAAGAATGCGTCAATGTCGTCAGACTGCTCTCTCGGCAAAGGCCATTGTCTTGTCACGCAGTATTTGGTTCCAGGGGCCAGGTCAATCTCATAACACACGCCTCGATCTGGAGGCAGGCCCGTCGGTGGAACTTTCGAGACAACGTCTCCATACTCTTCACCGCAGAGTAGAAGGGATCCGAAGGATCTTTTGGGATCACCGATCCACTTCTTGCGCTCAACGCCTTCTTGGTGTCCTATAGGACCGCGTCGTCCACGGCGGATGAGAATTGTAACATCTCCTCAGGTCCCAGCAGGGCCACCTCGGCTAGCTCGCAGGCCTTCAAGGCTTCGCCAAACTCGGCGATGGACATCTCGTTCACCACTAGCAGAGCATCTACAGCGGGCAGAGTGTCAAGGCTGATGTCGACTTCGACCTCCCCATTGACGAGTGTGTACAGCTGCTCACAGCAATCACGTGGAGCCTCACCACTCGTCACATTGGACACCTCGTCCGACGTCGAAGACGGCACAGACGCCCTGCTTCTTCATCGCCTGTCCCTCCGGGACCGAGCCCTGCCGGATGAGGGTGGTGTGGCGACGTCTCTATCGCCACCACCGGGTGCAGCAGCACCATCATCCCTCCAAGCGGAGACAGTGTCTCGCAAGACACTCGGCTGAGAGCCAAGAGGTCCTTGATCCTCACACAGGGAACTAGGTTTCACTTCACCTGCATCTCCTGGGCCGCTCCCACGATGCCTCGCCTCGCCGTCGCCCGCTGCTATCGGGCGACGCAGCGGTAGGTCATCGACCAGATCAGTACCCCTCAGGGGACTACGGGGGAGACTCCGCGGTCGTCCCACCAGGACCCAGCAGCTGGTCATTGACCTGACCTGCACCGCTCAGCGGATGACGTGCCGTACCACGTACGCCCTCAGGGCAAACAGCAATCTCGTTGCTAACAATTCCGGACATACCAATGTCCAGCACTACGGCCGCCTCGGCCTCGTACTCGCGCCAAAAGTGCTTCTGCTTCCTAGCAGAGGTAGGTTTATGACTCACCAAAGCTCCACTAGGAGCTTTGGTTCGACGCACCCAGCGTTTTCGACTTCCAGTCGATCCATGGCTCATGGCGTTCCAGCCATGCCATGCCAAGGATGAGGCCATACCTCGCATCCAGGTCTAAGCCCAAACCGCGTTCCGCGCTATCGAGGCTCTTAAACTTCACTCCCAGATCGACAGAGACCTTCGACACAGTTACCAGTGACCCCGTCGCGAGAAGGACAGAGATCGTATCTCTCGTTGGCACTTCCAGTGCCTCAGCATACAGCTGACTCCCTTCCAGGGTTAAGCGACGGGCGTGGTTGCCCGAGACTCCCGAATCAATGAAGACTCTCCATGGCTTTGCAAAGCCCTTCACGTTCGCTTATACGACCAGCAAGCCCGGATTGCACACACTCTTCTCGTAAGAGAGCCAACCCCCCCCCCCCCGGAGATGTCTCGGGGGGGGGGCTCGCCGGAGCCTCGCGCTTCTTGCGCAGAGTACAATAGGCCCTCAAGTGCATA